GTTTTGATCTTTTCGTTGTGTTTTCTCTTGGGAATCCGGCGAGGAAAAATAAAAAAGACAGAAGTAGAGAAGCACAGCCACGTTTTTCCGGTCTGCCATCGTCCCTCGCGGTGCAACAGAAGGGCTGCACGTGCAGTTGTGGCAGAAAGAGGTGATTCCCAAAAGAAGCCAAACTGCTTTGACGACGTGAGGCCTTTTCCTTGTTCTCTTCCCCAAAACTGAGGCTGCCTTCAGGTTCTTCCCCTGCCTGCGTGGTCACAGAGCTGTTAAGGTGTTTGTAACCATAACAGAGCTAACAGAGCGTTGAACGCACCTAGGCTGAGATCCCTGTTTCATTTCAGCACGTAAACGTTTGCTACTTACAAAAACCTTTGCTTTTCTGCTCTGTTGCCTTCAAACCAAAGGTGTGTAACACAAAATAAAGAGCACTTTGCTGTGAGCTGCTTACAACGCCGTTATTTGTGTGATTACAGATCCCTCTGCTCCGCCCCGATCACTTCTCACACGTTCCTACGCTCCTTTAGCACAGGCTTCTGCTGCAGGCTGAGCTTCGGAAAGCCGACCTTCAGCCGATGGTGCAGCCGCAGAGATCCCGGTTTATCTCAGCAGAGCTCCTCATCTGACCAGAGCCCTGCGGCGGTTTTCTGGGAGGTTAAAGATTCCCAAGGCGTTTTTCCATCGTGCGGCTCCGGACAGGAGCGGATCTGCGCTGCGTGCCGGTAGATGGCAGAGGTGAAAGATTTCCCTGCGAGCAGCAGCTCCTGCTGGATCCCAGCATCTTCCTCGCGTCCGTTCGAAGGCTTAACCTCAAAGCGCGCCGCATCCCGCCGCGGTGCTGCGGCCGATTGCTGCACGCGAGGGGGAGAGGTGCGGGATTCGCAGCCTGAAGCCCCTCCGGCCGCACAAAGCGCGATCCACGGCCGCCCTTTGGCTCGCCGGCAGCCGTTGACAAAGCTGAAATATCCGAGCTGCCAGCGCCAGCCCTGCCTCGCTGCAGACCCTCCAGGAATGCACAAACGCGGATGATTTACAGCATCACAACCAGCAGCTTCTTTCCCTTTCTCTCACAACAGCTCAGCGTTTGGGGCTGCTTTGGGATTTCTGCGCTGCTCAGAGCTGCGCCGGCGCTTCCAGCAGATGGAGCCTTTCTTGCCCAATGCCCACAGGTTTTAATTGAGGGGGTCGATGGGAGCCTGCTAGGATGAGACGCACAACCCTACGGTGCCACTGCCGCCCTTTTGCAGACCGGGACTGAGCCCAGAGCTGCAGGCCCGGCTCTGAGCTCCCACAGGGCAGCAGCACACAGCTATCCGTGTCTGTTTGTCTCTCTGCTGCTCCCAGCCCTTCCCCCCCCCGCTGCCCCTCACCCTGCAGAGCAGTGCCACGTCCCACTGAGCTGCTGTGGGGCAGAGCTGGCGGCTGAGAGCTCAGGGGAAGAGAAGAGGATTGTTCCTGGTTTCACACTCAGCTGAGTTTCCATTCCATTCCTCCTTACTCACCCTCTCTTAATCACTGCAGATGTTGACATCAGATCCAGACTCACCAAGTGGAGGTTATTGAGAACATGACTTATGTGTGAAGAAATTCCTCCCGGAATATTTCACATTTTCGACTATATTTGGTGTGGAACGAGAAGAATGCTCTGCCTGGGGCCTCAGACCCGGCACTGATTTGGAGTTTCTCTCCAGGATTTTACAGCAGGAACCCCTCAGCATCCCGCTGGCAGCATCACAGCATCCCCGAGCCCCACATCCCCTCCCCTTTCCTCAGGTTCCCCCCAAAGCCCAGCCCACCCCCCCCCAGCATCCCCTCCCTGGCTCCCTTGTCCCCCCATCCACATACGGAGCAGTGGGTGACTGATGGGGCACAGCAGCTCTCCTGCTCTGACACGTTTCCCTCTGCCCCAAAGATCTCCCCAGACCTCTCCACGCTGGGGGGAAACAAGGCACAGAAACGTTCTTCCATCCCACAGTCATTTCCATTGGATTAAAAACGTCCCTTGTCTGCACGGATTGCTCCGGGATTCCCTGGGGAGGCTCCCGTCGCTCCCATCCCCCCGTAGGAAAGCAGCATCGCTCCGGGGACGCGGATTTGGTGCGGCCAAAGCAGCACCGACGCCATCAGATCTCCCCTCCTCCTCCTGGCCGTTTTATTTCATTGCATTGAGCATTTTTCACACGGACACGCTGAAATACTAAGAATTCGGAGTGCTTTCCAAACTGAAACCCGAAGGGCCGATCCCGACGCGCTCATCCCATGCACGGGGGGGGAGTAGGGAGGGGGGGTTGGGTGAGGAGGACCCCACCGCGCTCCTTCATCCCCTCGGCCCCTCGCTCCGTCCTTCGGCTCCGGGCGGGAGCAAAGCTGTTCCAGAAGGATCTGCGGGAGAGAAGGGAGACGCTGGTGAGCAGCGGTGGGGGCGGGGGGGTTCGCAGCTTCTTTACGAGGGAGGCAGAGGCACCAGGATTCCCCTTCACCGCCTTTTAAACGATGCAGCCGCCGTCCCTCCTCTGTCCCCCTCCCCAGGAACCGAAGCAGAGCACCGGGAGGAGCTACACCCGGGGGAGGGGGGTCGGGGGCTTCCACGGCGCGATCCGCTCGGAACAGCGGCCGTCTGTGCGTTCCTTCCATCCCCGTGCAGAAAACATCGATAAATACACCCCCCCCCCCCCGCCCCTCAGCTCGGTCCTGCCCAGTAATCAGCGCTCGGCTCACCTGCGCCGGGCTCTGCTCGGAGCCTCATCCCCCGCAGCGTCCCCTACAGCATGTAGATGATGTAGGACAGGATGACCAGGCCGATGATGGCGAAAAACATCAGGATGAAAATATCCAGCATGGCGAGGATCGAGCGGCCGCCGGGGCTCAGCCGCGTCCCCAGCGCCGTCCCCGAAGTCCCCTCCGCGCGTCCCGCAGCCCTACAGCCCTACAACCCTACAGCCCTACAGCCCTACAGCCCCGCAGCTCGGGTTGGCGATGCTGACCCCCGCAGCTCGGAGAGGCGACGCCGATCCCCGCAGCCGACTGGGAGATAAAAGGGTGGGCGCACGCGTGCAGCCCGGCTGCGGCCCCGCACGGCGCTCCCGGAGGCTCCGGTTGAGCTCCGTCAGCCCGAGATGCTCCCGTGGCTCCGGGGACCCCATGTCCGCCTGGAAAGGGCTTCACCCCACACGGGGAGCTGCTCCCAGCAGAGCGGTGCCGCCGCACCGCAGAGCCCCGCAGCCAAGCGGGATCCTTTGCAGCGCCCTTTGCCTTCGGGTTCTCGCTCCGTTTCAGTCCGTCCCAAAGCAATCCGTGAGCGGCAGCGGCGGCCACGCAGCCGGGTTTGTTTTTTTTTTCCTGTGGGTGCGGATGACATCCAGCACAGCTCAGCCCGGGATTTTTGGGGCAGAAAACCCCAAAAAGCAGAAGGAGCCGCTCCCGGTGCTGCACAGCACCACTCAGAATCGCAGGAAAGGATTTCCTAAGGAAGAGTTCCTAAAAAATAAGGGTTTCTTGAGTTTTTAACTGCAAGCGTTCTTCTGGTTTGCATCACCAAAGGGAGCAGAGATGGAAAGGGAGCAGCAAACGGAGCTGGGAGAGGAACGGGGCCAGCAGAGCCACCTCTGAGCCTCACCCCCTGCTCAGGGCTGGATGCAGATGCTGAACCCCCCTGGGCTGCACCCAGGGACAAGGATCTGCAGGGTCCCCACGTCCCCAGGTCCCTGTGTGTCCCCGGGGCACGAGGGAACAGCGCAGCAGCACCGCGGGCAGGTAGAAACGGTGCTTTTATTGTGGAGGAAACCGAGGATCGATCGGTCTGTTCCATTCGAGGGTTGGCTTAAAAAGGCCGAAGGCTGGATTGTCGGTGGGTGCTCAGCCCCACGGGAAGGAAAACATGAGGACAAACCCCAACCAAGTGATGGATCCGAAGGAAAAACCTTCTAAGCACTGAGAGCTGACCGGGCAGCCGAGAAGGGCGAAGTTTATTTTACATTGGACGAGAAGCGATTCAGCTTTTCCATTTTTTTTCTTTCTTTCCTTTTTTTTTTTAATGTTTTTTATTCACTTATTTATTTTAAATACAGGTTTAGGTGCTTTTCAGCTATGAAAAAAGGCAAAAAAGTGCATAAGTCGAGAGAAAAGGCAGAAATGAAGCAGTAAGAGGTTTGTTTCCCACGGTGGGGGAGAAAGGGGCGCGGAGACTCAGGACAATGGTTCCAAGGTAGCATTAAAAAAAGGTCTGTATACCAAAACGTGATCACCTGTGTGATTTGGTCCATTAAAAAACAGTTTATTCACATTGACGCTCCCCCCCCCCCCCACTATTTCCCAGACGAGGATGATGAAGGACAGGGGGACGGGGAGGGATGTGGACTCTCTGCCCCCCTTCCCTCCTCCTGCGCTGCCTGTGTAGCACCAAGAGGACCTCCAGCCCATGCAGCCCACCCTGGTGGGATGGAGGCAGGAGGGGGGTGGGATGCTCCCAGCGGGGTCCTCCCCCGTCCCATGCGATTGTCCCCAGGCAGAGCTGAGGGCTGTCTGAACTCGGTCACTTTGGTCCTTTGGGACATGAGCACCTGGCTGCAGGCTTCCAGTTATACCTTCAGCTCTGGGACCTTCCCAGCCTGAACGGGAAGGGGTCAGAGATGTGCTTTGAAATCTTGGTCCGTGACGCGATCCAACATCAGCGGCCACCACCGCTGGGGACCAAGGGGTGAGAGGTGGGGGACGGCACAGGGCTCAACCCCCCCTCCCCGCTTCTGCTGCCAGCAGGGACAGCCCCCAGCGCAGTCCCAGTGCGGTGACAGAGCGGGGAGACACGTCACACTCGGCCCAAAGAGGCACAGGGATGGGGACCCAAAAAGGGAGAACCGGAGCTGCGGGGGGACGTGAGGTCAGGGCAGCAGGTGCTCCTGCACAGTGGCACCACTCAGCCTGGGATGCAGAATGAGGCAGCCGGACCCCAAAAAAGCAGCAGGAGCCGCTCCCAGGGCTGCCCGGAACCATTCTGAATCCCAAGAAAAGATTATTTTTTTTTTAAAGAAAGATTTTAACCACAAATATTTTTCTGGTTTGCAACGCTGAGGACTGAGGGAGTGCAGTCAGAATAGGAACTGCAGACAGAGAGCCAGGGGAAGCAATGGGACGAGGCAGAGCCAGAGCAGCGCAGGGCAGGTGCTGCCAGCTGGTCCCCCCAGCATCCACAGAGTTGGGATGTTTGGTCCTAAGGAAATGATTCTGCTCCTCCCTCCCCATGCATTCCCAGCACAGCGGGGGGGGCCCAGCCTGGTGTGTGCGCCCCATCCCCTGCGGAAGAGAGGAGGAAGGCAGAGGGAGAAACGTTTGGTCCCAGAGCCCCCGCCATCCCTCGCAGACAGACCCTCAGTCCCGACACAGCGAGAACAAAGCTACATTGGCGAGAGAAACCAGAGGCGGCTGCAGAAACACAAAGAAACCGAGACGTCGGGACGCGGCTCCGGCAGAGGGAAGGGATGCTGGGGGAGAGAGACGCGCGCGCACCGGGGCCACGGGGTGGGGAGGTTTGGCTCCAACCCCCTCAGATTGCTTCCACGTAGTTGGCGGGCAGCATGCCCGTGTCGCCCGTGCGTTCCACCGTGCCGTACATCCAACCGTCGTCGATCTGCTGCACGTTGATGATGGTGTCACCATCCTGGAAGGAGACCTCGTCTTCATCGGCCGCGTTGTAATCATAGACGGCGCGGAAACGCTTCTGTGGGGAGAGAGAGGTCAGCGGGCATGGAGCCCACCATGGGGAACACAGGGCTGTACCAGCAATGGCCATGGGATCAAAGAATCACGGGATCGCCACGTGGTTTGGGTTGGAAAGGACCTCAAAGAATGCAGAACCATAGAGTGGTTGGGTTGGAAGGGACCTCAAAGATCATTGAGCCATAGAGTGGTTGGGTTGGAAGGGACCTCGAAGATCATTGAGCCATAGAGTGGTTGGGGTTGGAAGGGACCTCGAAGATCACTGAGCCATAGAGTGGTTGGGTTGGAAGGGACCTCAAAGAATGCAGAACCATAGAGTGGTTGGGTTGGAAGGGACCTCGAAGACCGCAGGATCAATGAATGGTTTGGGTTGGAAGGGATCTCAAAGATCATTGAAAAACGGGATGGTGGTGGGTTGAAAGCGACCTTAAAGATCATAGGATCAATGAGTGGTTTGGGTTGGAAGGGACCTCAAAGATCACAGAACCACAGAATGGTTTGGGTTGGAAGGGATCTCCAAGATCATAGGATCAATGAATGGTTTGGGTTGGAAGGGACCTCAAAGACCACAGGATCACTGAACAGTGTGGGCTGGAAGGGACCCTGAAGACCCCTCACTCACCCCCGCTGCGGACGGTGCGCTGCGCTGCGTGGAGGCGGGCGCTGCAGGCTCCTTGTAGCCATAGGACTGCGAGGCTGGTGGCTGCTGCTGGTAAACTGGGCAGGAAGAACACACCATTAGCACCAGGATCTGCTGCCATGCGAAGCCCCCAGGAGCTGGGACGGCCCTTACCCGGGTTGCTGGGCTGGATGTGGTGCTGTGGTTGGTGCTGATCCGGCCGTCGGTAATTGGCGCTTTCCTGGGAGTTCCTGCGCTCCATCTCCGCGCCCTCGCTGGGGCTGGGGCCCATCCTGCTCCTCTCAAACTCTTCATGGTATTTGATCTATGGAGGAGGGTGAGAGGTCAGAGTGCAGCCCGGGCAGCTCTGCAGGCCCCAGCCCCCCAGCAGCATCCTTCGGTCCCAGCCTGCTGCTTTTCACAAGGGCAGCAGGGCAGGAAGCACAGTGGCTGCTTCGAGATGGGAGTGGGCATAGGAAGGGGAAGGAGGGAAACCTATATAATCCTATATAATAGAGCAGCAGTGCCCCAAATGAGGAAAGGTTCAGCATTCAGGTGTGTGCAGAGTGAACAAGAAGCTCCCAGAGCCTGGAGAAGGGGCAGAGAATCACTGTGGTCAGGATGCACACTAAGGTACATGGGGAGGACCAGGCAACCCAAAATGGGTGACTCCCCCTCGTAGCAAGGGGAAGGAGGACTTCAGGGTCCTGGGGTGGGATCTGTGAGGTTTCCAGGCATGGGTGAGGCTCAGGAGCAGCCTCCCAACCCCCCGCACCGCAGGAGCACAGAGCAGAAGCACCTTTAGCGATCCCACCCTGCACACACTGCAGCAAAGGGTTAACCCAACCCTGGGCACGGTGTAAAAATTAATAGCTGCTCCTGTTAATGAATACCCTGCCATTGGGAAGCACCTGGAGCCCATTTGTCTGCTGGTTAAACAGTGCTGTACTGAAGGGCACTCCAGAGGGCTCCCTACAGGCGGGAGGCAAAGCCCGGAGCAGAGCTGCAGGGACGGGGATGCTGCTGCAGAACTGACTGCACTTTCCCTGTGCTCAGAGGCACAGCGTTGGGCTCTGCACAGCTCTGTTCCTAAGAGGGCTTCCAGCTGTGCAGGGCTGCATTTGCACCTTTTGCACCTCGTGCTTTGGGGCAGTGCTGCAGCTCAGCCTGCAGCCCCTGTGCTGCTCATCCCCCCGCGGCGCAGAGCCCTGTTGGCACAGCAGGCTGCATGCAGGGGCTGCTAAGTGGGTCACGGCCATGCCAAGCTGGCAGACAGATGCCTGCGGGGCTCTGAACGCCTCCTGTGCAGGAAAATCCACCCAGCAGCTCCCAACTTAAGCAGAGCCTTCAGGTCTGGATGTGCAGGTAACTCCCTGCGGACCCCACATGCTGCCCAGAGCTGCAAACGGGATCAAAAAGAGAGGGAACAAACAGCCGCCTCCAGCCCCATGGGGTGTGCTGTGTTTGTGTGTGTGTCTACGAGCTCCTTCATGTGGGCTCCCTCTCCTTGCACAGGCATGGCAGCTTTCTGGAACCCAAAGCATTTTGCATGCAAAGCTGCAGCTCTCAGGGCAGGCCCAGGGCTCGGCGAGGAACCTCCTGGCTTGCTGCTGGGCCAGGTTTTGCAACAGCTTGGGCTGTTAGATAAGGGCTGCGCACATGACTTTTACCAGCAGCTAAAGGTTAATTAACCCTCTGCGTGCTGCTGGAGGGATGCAGTGCTGCAGGCAGCCGTGTCACTGTGCCCCAGGTCAGCTGCACCCCATGCAGCAGTTCTGTGTGTGTGTGTGCATCCTCCTCCTTCGCCATGGAAACAGCCATCCACATCCTGCACACAGCACCCGGACAGGGATGGGGGGAGCAGGATGCAGCCAACCCAGACGTGGGCTTCTTGTTTTTAGAAAGGGAGAGCTGGGTCTCTTTTAGACACAGCCCAGAGCTCCACGCGGTGCTGCGTGCTCAGTGGGCCGTGCTGACAGCCCGGGTGACAATGAGGCACGGTCACAGCTCAGGTGATGCTGTGTGCCCCCCTCCCCCCCTCCCAGCACACAGCTCCGCAGCAGAGGAGCGCAGCAGCATCAGACACAGCGATCAGAAGGCACTCACGTTGCTGATCTGATCCTGAGTCTTTTTGATTCGCTGCAGCTCCGGGGTGTCAGCCACCACGCTGAAGCCTTTCCCCTTGTTCTTCTCAAACTCCTCCTTGTAGCGAATCTGGGTGGGATCAAGAACAAACACAGTGAGCTGCGGGGGAATGCGGTGTGTGGAGCTGCTCTGCTCACCCAGACGGACCTCGCTGTCCCCACAGCAGCTCTGTCTGAGTCTTGGCTTCGTGCAGGAGCCCCCATAATGTATCTGCTAACAGCAAAACAAGGCACTGCCAAGAGCTGAAACACAACAGCTTCCTGTGCTCTGCTCATCCTGTTGCTCTCTCAGCAGGGCTGGGGTCACTTGGATTCACTTTGCATTTCCTGCAGGCTGCCACTGCAGGTCAGCTCAGCCGCAGCTCTCTGTCCGTATGTGAGTCCTGAGCTGCTCCACCAGGGGACATTGAGGGACAGAAAAGGCCCAGGACGGCCATCACAGAGCAGGCTGTGGGGCTGGAGGCCAGCAGAACTGAGCAACCCTATTTGTTTGCCAAACTGCCACCAGCATCGCTTCCAGCAGAGCCCTGCTTTATTTCACTCGTCCCCTTGCATGCTTTTCAGTAGCTCTGTGCAGCATCCAGACCACGTTTCCAGCACACAGCCCTGAGCTGCACCTTGCAAACACATTGCTCCTGCCCTGCACAGAAGCAGAAATGCAAGCTATGGAAGCTACGGAGCCTCCACCCCTTCCCCACAGCCACAGCACACATGGCACAGTCCACAACTGGTAACTCTGATGTGACTCAGAAAGGAAAGGTTTAATGAACCGGGCTGCAGAATCCTCCCTTGCAGGGTAACCACGAGACCGAGATGCCAAAGCACATCAAGGAGAAACTGATTTCAGGGCAGAAGCCTCTGTTTGCCCACAGCAATGAGGGAGAGAGCTGGAGCTGGTTGGGGTAAGGGACACAAATAGTGCCATTAGGAAGGAGCAACCTCAGGGTGTTACGCATCAGGCTGCAAATGCACAGCTCAACAAGCATGAGGAGGAAAGGTAGAGCATCCTCAAGCAAGAAGCTCATCACAGGGCTAAGCAGTTCCCTTGATATTCTGTACATTTACCCTCCTGAATCTCACCCCTCTCTTCTTCTCCCTATAACACCCAGGTCAGAGCAACGCAGCCCAAAAGGATCCTCTTTGAGGCTGCCCTGAATGCAGGGGGGGACGATGGCAGGATGTGGGGCACAGTGCGTGCTGCAGGGGAGGTTCTGCCCCATGGCAATCAGAGCAGGACAGGGGCACTGGGGTGATGTAGGGAGGGAAAACACGGAGCAGGGGGACACACTGCAGTGCTGCAGCCATCGCAGTGGCCAGGACAGACAGCAGAAAAAGGGAGGAAGTGCTCAGAATGGGCAATTTTCTGCTTCTCCCTGCCCTTACGAGGCAGCCAGTGCCTGCTGGTGCTGTGGGTACCTGCAGCGCTCAGGCAGGGCGGCTGCTCCCAAAATGCCCATTTTTAGCATTCAGGAGTAACCACAGAAGGGGAACCCTGCGATTTGCTCGCCGCACGTGGGCTGCAAGAAGAGGCTGCAGGCGTAAAAGCTGTCGCTTTGCAGACACTTTTAACTACACAGGCTGTTATTATCCAGCATCTACAGTGACCGGAACAGCAGACGCCCTCTCCACAAACACAAATAGAGGAGGAAGGTGGTGGATCTGCATGCAGCCCCGTTACCGGTGCACAACCGGCTCTGCCGGTCCTGCTGGGGTGTGGGTTTGGCAGATCGCCCCTATTGGGGTCACCCACAAACACAGCTGTGAAGGGAAGCACAGAGCTGCAGAGCTCCAGCTGGCAGCAGCCCCACGGAGGACCACAGACCTTCTGACTGCCCCTTCCCTCACACAGCTGCCAACCATCAGCTCCATTTACAGCCCAAGCCCGGCTCCTGCTTCAGAAGGGCTCTCTGAAGGGTCTGCTCAGCTCCTGCTGTCCCTACGAGGCTGTCCACAAAGCACAGCAGTGGCAGCCTTAGCTGGAGCACTTGAGAAATACAAAACAGGAGAGTCCCTGTGTGGGCAGAACAAAGGCACCAAGATCCTATCTGTAGCACATTCAGGGTCTGCCCTCCATGGGGGGCTCTGGGCAGCTCCCACCTGCTTCAGCTGCTCCGTGTCCCACTGTTACCCATCCCTTCTGCTCCCTCCTGCTCTTAGAGCCATGCCCTCAGCCCGTCCCAGCACCAAGATGTGGGTGCCACTGTCCCACAGACTGGAAGCCCCTGGCTGCACCCCAGCCCCTCTCATGCCACATTCACACACAGCCAGCCCTGCAATGTGCTGCTCCCATTGCCAGTGCCCACAGTGCCCCTGCAGTGACAGGGGCTTTGCTTCACCTCCCACAAGATACGGCAGTAGCTGAGCATTTGGGAATGTTAAGACAACACAGCGTGTCTGTTCCAGCCCCTCCCTTTCAGAAGGGTCCACGCACACTGCAGTGGTGGAGGAGCAGTGCAGGAATGGGATGCAGCCCCCAGCACCTCCCAGGGCACTGTACCTGCTCCAGGCACAGCAGATCTCCAGGTCTGAGCACGGCTCTCCAGTGCAGAGGGAAATGGGATGGACGGCACCCCGCACCGACCTCACGCAGAGGATGGAACCTACTTTCATTTCCAGCCACATCCAGCACAGCACACAGCAAGGGGAGCCGAGCGTCCCAGCGAGCTGCAGAAAAGCCCAGGCAGTGCCAGCATCCCCTCCCCAGGGTCTACTTTAATAAGCAAGAGATAATGAAGAGCTGAGCTCATTGGAAAAGCAGCACCGGGGGCTGCAGAGCACACGGTTCTCCGTGAGGAAGAGCAACCGTGTCCCCTTTGTGGCTCCTTGGAGCACAGAGTGAACTTGGGCTGAGCTCCATCCAGGTGCACAGGGTGCTGCTGGGCCAGCCTTGCAAAGCACAGCTCTATCTGCCACCAGGTGAGGTTCTGACCCCACTGTTTGCTTTCCAGCTCCTGGCGGCTCCAGGCTCACGGGGAGAGGAGGAGGAGGAGGGCAGCGTCTCCTCCAGGCACGTGGAGGGGAACACGCTGACCCCAAAGGATGACTGCTCACCTCACACCAACCCTGGGCAAACCCCAACCCTGTTCTGCCCACCCGCTGCCAGCACTGCGCTGAGCCAATGCTGACAGCTCTGGGTGGATTCTCTGCCCTTTCCTCTTTGCCCCTTTCCATTGAAGGAAATAAAAAAGAAAAAAAAGAAGTAAAAGAGATTCCCAGAACAGTGGCCACATCCTGTGCTCTCCCCAGAGACGGTGACTCAAGCCAGAACTGCCCCTGGATGCGTTCTCTCCCACTGCAGCTCTGCCTGCTGCCCACCCAAAGCAATCCCAACACCCCCAGGAGGAGCAGTGCCCGGAGCTCTGCATCACAGCTGGGCACTTCGGGGACACCCTATGGCACAGAAAGGGGCACATCTGCTCAGCTCCCTCCTCCCACAGCCTCCCCTCTTCCCACTTTATCCACACCCCCTGGTATCTCTTCCATCTGCTCGTTTTTGCCTGCCAGAGCTTCCAATCCCTCCAACCTTTGGGTTTACCCAAAACCGGCGCCCGCAGAGCTCACGCCCCTCCTTTCCATTTCACCCCGCTGCAATGCTGGGTGCCAGCAGGGAAAATCCCACTGCGGGGTTGGGGGTGACTGGGGGAGGCAGCTCACAGCCACCTCAAATGAGTGGAACAGCAAACAGCAAAACAGCCCCACGCACAGCTCTCCTGCTGCGCGCCGGAGCAGAGAACGCAGCACAACGAGGCACAAAGCACAGTGCAGCTCTCACCTGGCTCTGCAGCACACAATGTATGCTTACCTGGCTCTGCAGCTCGCTCTGCTGCTTTAGGCGCAGGTTCTCGGGAGTATCTGCCACCATGGTGAAGGATTGCTTCGGGTAGTGTCTGCAGGGGGGGAAAGGACAGCATCAGCACCGGGTGCCCAGCCCTCTCCATAGCACCGTGCTGGAGGTGTCGTCCTGGAGCAGCCACCCCTCTGCACTCTGCTGCTTTCATGGGGAAAAGCAGATAAAGGAGGGTTTGGCTTTTTTTTTTTTTACGTCATTATTTTTTTCCCAGAGCAAAATGTCTTTGTAGGTTTGTGCCCGAGTTCTGGATGGACCCCGGGACACCTTCACCAGGACCTTCAGTTACCATCATTGGTAACATCAATCCAAGTGAACATTTTGGTTTACACCGCTCTGCCTCTGCTCCACTGCTCCCAGCAGGATGGCTCACAGGAGCCCAGAGCTCTCCTTGCTCATTCTGCTGCAGTTTCAGCCACAGACCTCACATTGAGGATATCACCACCCAGCAGGAGCTCTGTCAGCAGAACGGTGTCTGACCCGGGGCGCTTCTCACCTACACCCATCCCACACGTGGGGTGATTGCTTAGCATGTGCCCAACACGGGGCTGTAAAGCAGGAGAGCCACGGCCGGGCTGCATTCCTGCAGTGCCACACGCAGCCTCTGCTATCAGCACGGATGTGCAGTGAGGTGAACTCACGCGTGGCAGGAGGTGAACATCTGACACAAACGCTGTGAGCTCCCCCTGAGATGGGAACACTTCACGCAGCCCTTCCCCCGCTCAGGAAGGTGGAAAAGCAGAGGCAAAGCTGCTGGAACGTGGGGGGTTTCATGAGCAAATCCATTGCCAGGCACCACCACATGCAATGGCAACTGCCCCCAGATGCAGCACTTTGGGTCTGGGGGGCACAGAGCAGCAGCACCCCCAACTCACATTCACTTCCCTTTGCTTGAACAAACCCTCCTGAAAGCCCAGACAAGGCAGCTCTCCTCCTCCACGGTGGCTCCGAAAGGAGGTGAGCAGGGCTGAAAACAAACCTGCAAACCCTGCAGATGCATCTGCTGCCCATGCACACAGCTCTGACCCCATCCCTGTCCCGTTGCTGTCCCTGCACCAGGCGGCCCACAGCTCCCACGCTGGCAGACAAGGCGAGCCTCGACCTGATGGAGCTGCAGCCCCATCCCTACCTGCACCACGTGGGAGCCCTATGGGTCTGACAGCCCCAGGCTGCGCCCTGAGAGCCACCACAGGGAACTGACTGCACACAGTGTGAGCAGAGCTCTGCCCACGGCTGTCCACACTGCGGTCAGCGCAGCAGGAAACCATCTGCACCACGACACTGAGACACGGACCTGAGAGCAGCACATACCTCATGCAGCAACGCAGGAAGTGAGACAACAAAAATAGACTCCAGAGCCACGCTGAGAAAACAGAGAAACCCCCCCACGCACACCCAGAAAGCAGACAAAGCAGATGTGGTTTGCAGAAAGGGGAAAGGAAGCTCAGCAGCAGTTGAGAGGGACAAGGAGCAGCGCTGGATGAGAGCAGATCACAGACCGCCCCTAGGATATGGTTTAATCTCTGTTTAGGTTAATCTGACAGGGGGGGATACAACACTGTGTGCTCAGGCTCTGCTCCCACCACGGCTGGACATGGCGTTGGGGCACAGCATCCACCCAGCTGGGGCTGCTGGGCTCTGCACTGCCTCCTCCACGCTGACCAAACGCAACACAGCAGCACCGGGGTGGCTTTGCCAACAACCAAAGAGCTGGGGTGAAAGCAGAGCTCTCAATGGTTGGTTCTCCCAGAAGCTAAAGCTGTAGGGATGGCCGGATGATCTCCGGACCCCTCCAACCACTGGGAATCATAGCAGCAGCTCCACAGCAGAGCCTCTGCCCGAGTGATGTTCTAGAGGCAGCAACCAGCAGCGCAGCCATGGCACACAGCCCACTGCTGCCCGCTGCAAAAGGAGCAGGGCTGCAGTCAGAAAGGTGCTCCTGAATGCTGCACGTGCATTACAGCCACGGTATCTGCGCTGCAGAGCCAGCAGTGCATGCACTGAGTGTCCAAACCTGGCTGCAGGAAACGTGTGCTTGCATCCCAACGCCGTGCCAGGAGGCGGCTGCTCCGGGCGCTGGGGCTCTGATGCAGCAGCATTCATGCACTCCATGCATCACTGCAGCTCAGCAGCACTGGAGGACAGCTCAGCACAGAGCCTCTTCCTGAGCTTCTTGGAAGCCACTGCCTAACTCACACTGAGGTCAAAGAGAACAAAACCACTTTTTAAGCACAAAAGCAACACAATCCAAACCCCTTTGCTGGCTGTGGTGCTGTGCTCAGCCCAGGGCCGGGGGGCAGCAGCCATGCAGAGCAGCAGAGCACAGTGTGACACTGGGCAGCTCCTGCAAAGGGCAAAGGCAATCACAGTGGTGCAGCACTGAGCTGCAGCCTCATCTCTGTCACAGCTCTGTGCTCTCTGAGTCTAAATCATCCCATTTCCATGGCAACAGAATCCAATGCTCCAGGCATGCTAATAGCACGGAGAAGGGTCCGAGCATGGCGTGTGGGGAGGAGGAAGCCCACAGTGCTGCAGGACTGCAAAGCATTGCCACAAATCATCCCTGCCAAGTTGGGGGAAACCACACAGCCGTGGCTGTAGGGCAAAATCATCATCATCATCTTCTGGAAGACGCTGATGCCATTCAGAGCGTGGGCAGGGGCTGGGGAGGGATGAAGGAGAGGGGCACAGAACAGCATTGGGTTTCTTCTTTGGTCAATGAGATTTTGCAGGAGCCTCCCCAAGGGCTGCAGCCCTGAGCCCCACATCTGCTGCTGGGGGCAGCGATCATCCTGAAGCAGGGCATGGGAGGAAATGCACCAAGTGAACCACATCCCCCGTGGACGGGCATCAGCTCCGTGCAGAGCTGTGGGATCCGCCTGCTCCAAAGGCTGGGAATGAAGGAGTGGGGACATTCAGCTCAAACCACAGATGTCCACCTCCCTGCAACGGGGAAACCATCTCGTATGCATGAGAATCAGCCACAGGGCTCACAGCAGTAAATTAAATCTTAATGAGGAAGCACCGACGGATGGTGTCGGGTTGGGGGAGCGTGCAGGAAGCAGAATTGCACCAGGGATGGGCAGGGAGCGTCCTTCCCCATGCAGGCTGCTCTTGTGCTCTCCACCCCACAGTCAGACCCATAACTGGTGCAGGTAAGGAAGGTGTTCAGCACCCGACCTGCCTCCTCCAGAAGCAAGAGCAGCACACAGCAAAACCACCCTTGCAATTAGTGAGCAACAGCCTTTGGTACCCAGCACAAAAAGGATCCGTGCCCACCGCGGTCCTGGCACTGCACCATGGCCCCGTGGTGCTGAGCCAAACACCTCAGAGGAAACAGCTCTGCATAGGATTGGGAAGTAAGAGCTTGGGAGGAAGCAAGAGCCAGTTGCAGGCCTTTCCCAATGGCCCCCCTGCACCTAATTAGTGTCTAATGAATGGGGCACTCCGGATCCAATGGGGCTGCTGATGGGCAAGACAGAGCAGCATGCAGGGACACAGAGCAGGGTAATATGGGATGCACATCCCTGCTTGGGGCCTCTCCCCCATTCACCTTCTGCTGGCACCATCCACGGAGCTGCTCAAGACACCCCTCAGAAGGCAATGCATGCTGTCCCATCCCCAGAAACAGGACCAAACCCCAACGCAGCCCCAGACACCTCGTGCTGTGCTACTAAACCAGGTCAGGGCAGTCTTTGCAGGGTGGACAGAGCCTGTCTGGCTGCTGCATTAGGGGCAGTTTGGGGCCGTCAGCCCCACAGCACCTGGAGGCAGCTGGGGATTACCGGGGATCAGGGTCTGTCTGCTCTGCACCCCCAGCTGACTCCCTGCTGCCTCTATGGGGGTGGGAGCTCTTCTGAAGAGCTGCCACAAAGAGCTGCATGGGGAGGGGGGCACAGCAGCTCCTCCCATACACCCCAAAACAGCCCCACCACAGAGCCGAGGGGCTGCACTTGGAGATGGAGCTACGCTTCTCCTGTAAGGTCAGCAGTGGGATGCTTCTGCAAGACAACAGGAACAAGAGGAGCCACTTTCAGCATGACTCCAAGGCACCTCTGTTTCCTTGCATGGCCACCGTGTGCTGCATTTTGGCAGCAATCCGTGCTTGGTGCATCGCTTGCCCTCGCACACAGGCTCCAAGCGAGTGCTTTGGGCAGACGTGCAGCACAACCCCACACCTCCAGGAGGTGAGCATCACCCCCACGACTGCACAGCAGCTTCGGGAACAAAGAGTTATGCAGCAGGAGCAATAGGCTGAGTGCTGCCAGCAGGCTGCACGGTCACATCCTGCCCATCACGGAGCTGCTGGCTCACAGGGACGCACTTAAACAATAATAAACTGTTGTTCTTTCTTAAGTGAAAACAGCACCCCGCTACTTTGCAGAGAGCTTGCAAACATCCCACCCTAAAGGAACAGGCTGCAGAGTGGGATCTCAGTTCCTCCCAGTGTTTTCAGGCTGCCAAAATGGCTGGGCCAGCCCTCTGTGTGTGCAGCTGCTGCTTTTCCCAGCATCTGTTCCCAGCCCATACTGAGCACAGCACAGCTCTGCAGGATGAGCTCCTCACCAAGGCTGCCCCAGCGCCCTCCCCATGCTGGAGGCAGAAGGGGACCCACAGGCACAGCTCCAGCACAAGGAACCCAGTGCTGAGCAGGGACACTGCACTGCCTTCCTGGGGCTTTGCTCAGCTCCCCCCCTCTTTCCCAGAGGCTGTGCCAGCACTTCCAGAGGGTGTTGCAGTGCAAGCAGCCTGCTCCAAGAACCTGCTTTCATCCACAGTGGAAAGATTTCAAGCAAAAGCAGAGCAGGGTGTTGCCAAGCTGTGAAGTCAGCAGCAGCAGCTCCTGGAAGCAGTAATGCTCATCCCACAGCCACCCTGTCCCCCCCCACCCCCAAACAGAGCACTGCCTGTCCACCCCCCCCCCCCTCAGAGTGTTGTTTATGGGAGCAGAGCCGGCATCGCAGCACTACTGGTTTTTTCCACAAGGTCTCTGGCCCCAGGCACGGATAAGCAAGGTTGGGAACACAACAGCCACCAGCAGCCCAGCCCCAGGGGCTCTGCAACTGAACCCCCCCCCCCCCCCCCC